AATACACGTCAGAGCTCCTTTCAACAGCATTAGGTCGACCAGGGTTGGGCGAAAAAGTCTCATGTGGCACGAAATATCCGTCTTCATTGTGAAACTTCCTTTCCATCATTGGGTGCTGTGGCGTTATTCAGTGCGGGAGAGAGAGGGCCGGCTCCATCGATAACATCCTATCAGGGATGTAAAGTGCTTTTCATCCTATAGATGATGTTTTTGTCAGCCGAGAGGGCCATGGTCGTTCCACTCATATTTAGCGCCTTTGTTCCTTTGCGTTTTATGCTCAGCTTTTGGTTTTGTATATTCGTTTATCAGCTGAAGCTAGTGGCAGTAGATCAGAAGGCGTTACCCTGTTTATGAAACCCCTGATGTTGTGGGCCCCACAATGTGGGGTTCATAGACAGGGAGACCTAGAGCTCTAGCGCAAGGTTGGTCGAGGAGATGGAAGTCTTAATACTGGTCTCGCTAGAGTGCTCTTATAGGATGGTTATAGCTCAGCAGGAAGTGGCCTCTGAAAAGGGAGTGACAGTCCTGGGGACGCTCGATGGGATGACTTTATCTTCTTCCGTCGATCTCTCGTTTGAGTTTCTTGAGGTGGCATTTAATCGTTTCCAAGGCCCATGGTCAGCTCATCTCGGCGCAGTGTGTTTTTCTCTTTCGCTATGGGTGTCCTCTTCTCGACACTCTTCGGCGGACTCTTTGGCTCAAAGGAGGTTCGAATACTCATCCTAGGTCTGGACAATGCAGGCAAAACGACGATATTGTGTACGTACTCGAACTCCCCTCCCCGAGTTTCGATCTAGCTCGGCACAGCCTCCCGTTCGCCTTGATCGATCATCGGCTGATTCAGTCGTCTGTTCATTGACCGTTTAAGGAGGTTTCAGACTATTCATTGTGACGATTTATTCCCGTTCTCAGATCGGCTTCAAGTGGATGATGTCGTAGAGACCATACCAACCATCGGCTTCAACGTAGAGACGATACAAGTGAAAAATGTGAAGCTACAGGTGTGGGACTTGGGTGAGTCATATCATATGCCTATGGTGTCTGCAGCCGTTTCTTGGTAGGTGGCCAGAGCAGCATTCGGCCCTATTGGCGTTGTTATTACCCCAACACCAACGGTATCGTTTACGTGGTGGACTCGGCTGGTGAGGACT